GGGGGGGGGGGGCAGCCGCTGGAGGTGCCCGGGGCGGGGGGCGAGGGGCTGCTCATCTGCGGCACCTGCGGGCAGAGCTTTGAGGACAGGGCCGGGCTGAGCGCGCACCAGGGCGAGCACCTGCACCCGGCGCCCACCTACCAGTGCGGCGCCTGCGGCAAGGCGTTCCGCCACCGCTGCAACCTCCTGACGCACAAGAAGCACCGGGGCCGGCGCCAGCACGCCTGCACGGAGTGCAGCAGGACCTTCTGCTTGAAAGGCGACCTGCTGCGGCACCGGGCGAGCCACGGCGGCGAGGGCGGCTACACCTGCCCGCTCTGCGGGGACGGCTTCCGCCACAAGCGTGACCTGCAGGCGCACCGCAAGGAGCACGCCGGCGCCGCGCGCCGCAAGTGCCCCGAGTGCGAGAAACGCTTCGAGGACGAGGCCAGCCTGAGCCGGCACCGGGCCACCCACTGCGGGGAGCGACCCTTCCTCTGCGGGCGCTGCAACCGCAGCTTCAGCTGGAAGGAGAGCCTGATCATCCACCAGCGCAGCCACGCGCAGGAGCGCTCCCACAAGTGCCCCGACTGCGGCCGCGGCTTCAGCCGCAGCGGCAACCTGCTGGTGCACCAGCGCGTGCACACGGGCGAGCGGCCCTTCGCCTGCCCCCAGTGCGACAAGGCCTTCTGCAACAAGGCCAACCTCATCACACACAAGAAGCTCCACCGGCGCTACAAGACCTTCGCCTGCGCCCAGTGCCGGCTGGGCTTCAGCTCCAAGAGCAAGCTGCTGCTGCACCAGCGGGCGCACGGAGAGGGGGAGCGGGGGGCCCTCGGGGCAGGGGACGGCCCGACGGGCTGCCAGCAGTAGCTGGGGCCGCCTTTGAGCGAGGGGGGGGGGCGAAAAAAAAAGGGGAGGGGGAGCGGGGGGCCCTGGGGGCAGGGGACGGCCCGACGGGCTGCCAGCAGTAGCTGTGGCCGCTTTCGAGCGTGGGAGGGTGCTGATTCCCCCGTGGAGGGGCCCGGGGGCTGCAGCGGGGCGGGGGGGGCCTCATCCTGCCCCCACGGGACGTGACTTGGCCTGTGCCCGTTGCCTCCTCCCCGGGGCTTGGCCCGGTGCACCTCCAGGACCCGTGAGCCCTGCGCTCCGCACCCCTTCGGACCTCAGAAAAACCCTCCAGGGCACTTCCCAGGTCTCCCAGTCCCCCCAGTGCCTTCCCCCTGCGGGGGGGAGTCCTCGTCGTCCGTGTTTAAAGCCAGGAGAGAGCGATGCGAGCGTGGGCGCTGGCCTCGTGCAGCGGAACGGAGGGACCTCATCCTGTGCTGGGGGAGGCAGCCCCGGGGCTCAGAGCCTCTCCCCGCTGCCCAGCATTTGGGCCTCGGTCTTCCCACAGAGGGGTGCTGGGGGACGAACAGCACCCTGACCCCCACCCCGACCCGCTCCCCCGGGCGCAGCTGCGCGCGGGCTCGGGGCTCGGAGGGACGGGGCAGCTCCTGGGAGGTCCCTGTGGGGACACGGCTGTCCCCGTGCAGGTGTCACCGTGGGAGCTGTTTCTGCCCCATAGCCCTGCCGAAGCGGGGGACGGACGGTGGGCAGCTGGGGTGGAGTGGGGAGGGGGCCGTGGGGCTACGAGCGGGACCCCCGGGCTCCGCTCCCCTGTCCGGTCTCCTGCCGGGGAGCGGAGCGGGGCCGCGGTCGAGGCGGTGAAGTGGGCAGAGCTGGCGGGGTGGCAGGAGGGGCTGTGTCGGGCCCCAAGGAGCTGTGTCGGGCCCCAAGGAGCCAGTGGCCTCGCTGGGGGAGGGGGTTTCCCCCCCCCCCCGCCCCCCC